AAATTAACGAATCAGGATATATATATATATATATATATACTGTCCCAGACCTTACATCGGCCAGACCAACAAACGAATTTCCAACAAAACCTATGAACATGAACTAGCTGCTCGCAAATCAGATCCAGCATCATCTCTCTTCAAACACCACCAGGAAACAGGCCACACAATAAGCTTCGAAAAGAGCATTGCTACGGAGAAAAATCTCCAGGCCAGGATAATTCGGGAAGCAATCAAAATTGAAAACCGTCCCAACTACCTTAACAAGCGACATGATTCGCAGAGACTACCACAAACATGGAGGACATTGTTGTCATGCAAAATACCTGAAAATAACTTAGGTACCCGGTCAGGCAGACCGGATACTTGCCACAACAATATAAATATGGGCCCCGAACAACAGAGTGACCAGTGTGAACTTGGAGTGAGAACAAGCATAGAGCTAGTAACGTGACTTGGGGACAAGGGAGATTACGACCTCGTCCTCGAGTCATGTAAGTACAAATCTAAGTGATTCATGAAAATAGCTCCAAAGCAGGAGCCGAAACACATCGAAACGATGAAAATTACAGACGCGGTTCAACCCGGACAACAGTATATCAATTCACTGACAATATATAATTAAGTACCATACTGATCATTCCTATATTTATTTCAATTTAAGAGCCACCGGTATACAGCTGTTTCAGCCTATTGGGCATCGTCAGTATCGGGCAGGCGGTCCTCGATTGAAGACTAAATGTGAAAAACCAAGAAAAGTACTTAATAGAAATAACTGCGTAAACGCAAGCGAGGCATAAGTGGAACTACCTATTGGTGTGACACCCAAGTCAACTTGCCAAGTTTTTATGTCAGTGTTGGTGGTTTGACCAATCAACCGACACCTGCGGTGGCAGAAATTTGGGAAGCTAACCTGGAATGTTATCGAAAAACGAATCCACATGTTTCTTTTTCACAAGATAAACTATTTAAAGAGACAAGCATTTATTCACTTGGTCACCTTCACACCTTATTCCCCCTTCTATGACACTTTTCACTTCAACAATCAACATTTTTCCAATAAAAACGTTAAATACTGTACGGAGCTGCTTTTTGGCTATATATCTCTGTATTTTACGTTTTTAAGGTTAATGGCATAGTTGGTACGACTGATGCAAGCATTCGTTTTTAAATTAAGTATTTGATAAGAAAAAATGTTGAATGTTGAATTGAAAAGTGTCAATTAAGGAGGAATAAAGTGTAATGGTGACCTAGTGAATATAATATGCTTGTGTTTTTAAATCGTTTATCTTGTGAAAAAGAAGACTGAAAAGTTGCCCTTTTCTGAACTCTGAAGGGTTGTAACTTTGTAAATAAGGAAGAGTGCCGCTTTTTTCTTTCGGATTCGTGATTTACGTATCAAAATACGTAAGTACAACTGAAATTTTTTTTCAAATTCGCCGGGTGCCCTCAAAACGGATATTTACCAAATGATATTAAAATGCAACTGAAAAAGAAGTGCCTTGGTATACATTCTACTCACATGAATTTCGCGTTCTACCTGTTCATGGTCATTATATATTTTCCCGATTGAAATAAAATCACCATTACAGTAATACATCCATTTGCATACCAGAATAGCACCAAAAATATAGGTGCATGACCAATTTCAACCTGACCGTCAATATCTGAAAAGTAATCACGATCAATTCTAGTGAAACACACAGCGATTCATTCTAAACCGAAAATAGATAGATAGATAGAAAAATCTTACAAGAGCATCAATTTTATCTTTTACCCTCCTATTTCCATGGATTATACAAAAATAAAAATAGGAATTGCCGTGAGTCTGAGCTGTAAACTTTAATGGCTTATAGACATATCTTTGTCAAATATACGGGAGTCGCTTGTGATAGTTGAATCATAGTGTCTCATAGTAACATAACTAACTTCACAAATTTAAGCGTTATATTATTGTGGTATTGAATGAAATTGTTGTGGTGTAATACCCATTCATTGAAAACTCAGTAACAGTATCGAACTGTACTCTCTTTCCATGGCACAGACGTTTCTTTTGTCAAATATTTGACATTTTGGATTACATTATTGCAAATTTGGTATGGTTTTCTTATCTTTCTGAGATCTAAATCAGAATATGTCACTCACTGATAATTTAGTTTTTATAAGTGGAAGAATTTGTAAAACTTTTTAAGTGCAGTTTTCTTCTCATAACATAAATTCAGCTTTGTTTAGACTATCAGTTGATTGGAATTGATAGAGCCTTCGTTTTGTTTCAGGGTGACACATGCTGCTGGATTTGTGACAAATGCGAAGAGTGGGAATACGTCTACGATGAATTCACATGCAAAGATTGCGATCCAGGATACTGGCCATTTTCCGACAAATTATCGTGTTATGCGCTTGAACTGCAATACATGCGATGGAACACCCCTTACGCCTTTGTTCCTGCCGCATTCTCTTGTCTGGGAATCTTAGTCACATTCGCCATTATCATCCTATTTATCAAACATAATGATACTCCATTAGTTAGGGCATCCGGCCGAGAACTCAGTTACATGCTATTATTCGGAATACTCCTCTGCTACTTGAATACTTTTGCTCTCCTCGCCAAACCGACCACCGAAATTTGTATAACGCAAAGATTCGGAATCGGCGTCGGATTTTCAATAATATACGGAGCTCTCCTCACCAAAACCAATAGAATATCTCGGATATTCGATTCCGCTTCCAAATCAGCTCAAAGACCGAGCTACATCAGTCCGAAATCCCAGGTGATCATCACTTGCTCTCTCATAGCCGTTCAAGTTATACTTACGCTGGTGTGGATGATAGTTGAACCACCGGGCACGAGATTCCACTACCCTACCAGGAATCAGGTTAGTATGAAATATCGACTTTATCATATAATGTATCATTTAGGCCAGTCAAAATAGGTATTTCAATTTTCAATAATTTGTAAAGAGTTGAAAAACAATTGTAGGAAATGGAGATTCATCCTGTATGACTACGACTAACGGATGAAGATTTCAATGTTTTTTATTTCTGTTGTAATAATATTGAAATAATGAAGAAAAGAGAATTGAAACTTTCTATGTTTTCACCACTTTTGTTTGTGACTAACGTTACTGCAGTTTCGTTCTATGAGGATATTTTAAAACTTAAACTGCAAACTTAAAACATTAGTTACAAATAAAAGTGGTAAAAAGCATAGAAAATTTCAATTCTCTTTTCTTCATTATGATTTCCTACCACGTAGTAACGGCTACATCAATCAATTTATTGAAATAATTGAATGTAAAACTTGTGTATGATTGAAAAATTTGTGAATTTTGATAATTTGTATTGAAATAGAGAATTTTCCACTGGTGATTACGCTTCACTCGCTCCATTTTTCACAACATAGGCTAACATGAGAGGATATTATTAGTCGTGTCATCATCAAAGCTCTATTCAAACTTCATGATGACAGCACGACCAGCCGTCGAAAGCGCTCGCATATAAATTGATTCATCACATTTCCAGTAACCACATATTTTCTTGTTTTCTTTCTGTCAAATGCACCATAATTCCTCAAATTTCTTTCTAGTCATCTAAACATTTGGATGTTCGGAACACGACGATTCGGGTATAGCTCAACATACATATTCCTTACCAAAAGAGGATTTTCATTTGATTTTGCCTAACAAATTAGCATATCAGTCCTTTCATCATTTGAATACATCTTTGATAAACGTCTGACAGTTCTCAACAGATCGAAACAATTTACAAAAGAAGTAACGACAGGACCGTAATTTAATGTTATTTCAAATGACACGCTATAAAAATATCAAATGTGATATACCCTTGGATTGTGAATTCATGACTTGATCAATATCTGTGATAAAAAAGACAGGTCCGTATTTAAAAAAAAAGTTGATGGTGGCCATGTTGACACGAAACGTTTCGTCGAATATTTATTATTACATGGTTATAGTACACTTCGAATACAATAACATTTTTTAGACTTTTTGATATTCCCCGAAATAACAATTACTTTCGAAAAAATTGAACAACAGCATTTTTGGTTTCCTCCGTATAACTTGAGAAGAGCGAGAGTCCCCGTAAATTTTCTGCGACCATTGTATTTTTCCCAATGACAGTGATCTTTTTTCCCATTTAATCGTCTTCGTATCTGTTACGGTTTAGAATATAGCAATGTTACCACATGATATGTGGTAACACATGGTAACACATAGTGGTAACACATATCATGTGTCAATGTTACCATGTTACTTGATATGTGGCAATGTGTTATCATGCAGTAACATGATATGTGGTAACATTGCTATGTATATACTTGCTTACATACAGTAATAGAGGTTTTGTTTAAATCAGTTTCTTTTTTATCTCGTCTGATGTTTTTTTGATGTTATTTTCCGATTTTGGGCAATTATATGTTGACATTATTCTTCTAGAAATGCTGCTGACCTTTTCGACTGATCTATCTGTTGTGAAAAATATATTCAAATACTAATGGAAACCATCTCCATCTGGTTTCAACATATTCTCATTGTAACTAACGTTAAGGAAATGATGTCGAAATATTTGCTATGAGATTTTGCTCTTGTTGTTGAACTCGCTTAGATGTGCTTTGAACACAATCAATGTTGCCGTATCTTTTTTTTTTAAGGACAAAACACAAGCACTACAGGAGTGATTTATATTGGATTCGAATCGCTGGGGATTAAATCCATTTGGAAGTTTATTCCACATAAACGCAGTTCTACTAAGTTGAATCTTAAAACGATGAGCAGCCACAGTCCGTCGCGTATTTCTGATATGTACAGCTCTTGGCGAAATCAAATGTGCCAAGTCACTTGAACACTTCCCGTGAAAGTATCTATAGAAAAGTAACAAATCTCCAACCTTTCTTCGATGTTCCAGACTATCAAGGTTGCAAGTAATGATCGCGTCTCCAGTCAGGCGGATGGCTTCTTTCTGGATGGAATCCAGCAGCTTCCATACATGAGAACAATACTCCAAAAAAGGTCTGATCTGAGCTTTATAAAGCATCAAAAGTTGCTGTTGTATGTACAGTTTTCTGGTTCGGAACAGTGTTCCAAGCTTTTGAGGAGTGGCTTTTGCAATTCCAGCGACATGATTGTGCCAAGACATATTGGTATTACTTTTATCCCCTAACAAACTTATCGAAGCAGAAAGTGGAATTGTCTGTCCTGACATTATTATATTGGAGACATTTATCTTTTCGGAGGAAACTGATGCCTGGGTTTTTGTGACATTGAATTGAACCTGGTTATATTCACCCCAATTCGAAATTACTTCTAAATCCTCTTAGATTTGCAACCTCCTGCTGCCGGTGAAGATGTGCATCCGCCGCCGATGTCCTGGAATCCAAATGGAATCCAAGTGTGCTGTCGTCAGCAAAGTAATATATTGGATTCTTGGTGTTTTCCAATAAGTCATTCATATACAATAGAAAGATGATTGGAGACAAAGTAGATCCCTGGAAAACACCAGCGTTGATGGTGAAAGTATTCGAGAGATATCCGTCGACGGCAACTTGCAAGGAACGTTCTTTCAGGAAACTGACGAGCCATGCACAAAAATCATCCAACAAGGATCAAAGTTTGGCCACAAACCCTCATGGTACACACGGTCGAAGGCCTTAGAAATATCAAGCGCAACCGCTCTTGACTCTCCATGTTTCTCGATTGCGTTATTCCAAATATAGGTGACATAAGATAAAAGTCACCTGTCTAGTTCTTCATTGATATATGAGGAATGAAAAATATTTCAGGAAGAACGAGGTAGACTCCCAGAAAAAAATTAATGAAAAATGTCAAAAAATATAAATTCATTCACAATTTCACTCAAATTCTTGAATGTTTTTCTGATTATTGTCACTTTCCGAAAACAATATGAAGAGATTGATTACCTCAAAAAACTTCTTTTGTATGTAGAAATGAAACCTCAGTTTGGAAAAATATGGAAATAATTTGTCAATAATTCCAAAAGGAAAATATGTTGTTTCCATGCTGAATAAAGGGATGACAAAACAATTTTTATTCAAATGAAATCCAACTCTGAATATTATTGTTGGTTATGCAATAAGTTATTCGCTTCGCTCATTTGGACTCTTCCCAATTCATCGGTAATGTATAAGACGGCATCTCGTTTAAATATTTCATTCCAATGCACCTGGACCCAAGAAGAGATTGCCATTACAAGGGTGCTCACGTTCATTGCGTATTCTGATCGACTCTAAGAATATCTACACTAATACAGTTAATCACTTAGCAGTCTGCGTTCACCCTTTTAGTTGCGATGTACCCTCTAAGGAATTTCGATTACTTTCTTTCCTTTTTACAATCACACAAGACCTATTTCCTGTGAACTGGAATGTATACTGAAACCTGTTAATCATGTAGCCGTTGTAAAGATGAGACAAGACTTTCTGAAAATTTTGAATTACTGAATATTAGGAAAATTAACGAATCAGGTATCTGCTTTTTTTTAACTGTTTTCCAAACAACTATTCAAAGGAGAAGATATTCAATTTCTTGTATTTTTTATTGTTATGAATGTTATATTCGAATTCATCCAATATAGTATTTCAAAAATATTTTTATATACTATAATATACCAAGATACAATATAAACTTCTCGATTTGAAACACTTGTTTGGCCAAATGAGTGTTGAGGCTCTTGCGTTTCCTGGTTTTATAGCTTTTCCCCACTTGGAACTTCTTTGTTTTCTTCTGGGCTTGCTGAATACAAGGTCCGTAATAGTGCTAAATTGTAGTTTAAATGGAAGTCGACCTGGAACTTCATAATACAATGAGGCATTGTAATATTTCATGTAACAACTCCCCTTTTCACGAAAAAGTTGGTGCTGAACTGTGCTATACATTTCAGGTGTAACATAACAAGTTTGGATTGCGTTCGATATCATCTTCAACTCCTTCTCCAATTAGATAACTACTTCTTCTTCTAGGTAATCTACAGTGTTAGCAAAACGCTTCCAGAAATAAAAAAATATATAAAAATTGTTTAAATATTATCATGTATAGATTGAAAGGGTATATTTCAAGGAGAGATTAGTTTTTGTGAAAGAAAAGTTTTGGCTTTCTACTGTTCCATCTTGATACAAAAAATGTGAGAATTTTCCAAAGAAAGGAAAATTTATTAATTTTCATCAAGTGAAAAGTCAGTCAATTCACAATGGAAAGAATATGGCTATACTCGTAGATTTGAATCTGTTTCAGTTGCTTGGTGCTGGAGTTTGGTGGTCGATTGTTTCTTGCTGTCACAATAGTAATTTTCACATTTTTCTTATTTCTACATTAACAGACACAATATCATCACACAATATTATCAAAGCAATTGTGAGGCACGTAAACCATGAAATGTGCTCTGAAAAGAAAAGTTCAATATTCCTTTCATCTAATTGGTATGAATATTCATTCACTTTGAATTGGGCTGTGACCAAATATCAACATTTATTTTATTCAATTTTAGAAGTTTCGGTTTCTCAATAAGTCCTGGACATCATCCTATGATATTTCAGTGTCATGCATTTCATATGTTATATTCTTATCAGGATAAAAAGGTTTTTGGCGTGGAATCTTGTGCTGCCAATGAAGGCATTGAAATATTTATTAATTTTAAAAATTCAGTTTGTTACTTTGATTTTCATTTTTGAATTTCCGTTACAATTCCAAACAGTTGGTAATAGGTTTGAAACCAATATTAGCCATGTATTGAAATAAATTTCGTATGCATTACAATATTTCGCAAAACGAAGACTTGTTTTACATGCCTTAGGTAATTCTAATTAATGTCGAAATATTTGGGCTTCAAAAATAGCATTATCGTT